TCCCTTTGAGCCTTTGTTTTTTGGTGGTGTCCATTGTAACATCTCTACTGTCATTTCTGATTTTTACTCCCCTCTTTTCTTTTCTTGGTGTGTGTAGGTAAAGCTTTATGAATTTTGTTTATATGTATATATATATATATATATATATATATTTTAGATTTATTTACTTAGTTGAGAGAGAGAGAGAGTGCACAGGGGGAGAGGCAGAGGGAGAGAGAATCCCAAGCCGACACCGCACTGAACACAGATCCTGACACGGGGCTCGATCTCAAGTCCCTGAGATCATGAAGTGAGCCAAAATCAACAGTTGGACCCTTAATCAACTGAGCCACCCAGGCGTGCTGATTTTTTCAGTCCCTCCTTTATTTATTTCTGTTGTGATCTTTGTTGTTTCCCTCCTACTGACTTTGGACTTTGTTCTTTTCCTGGATCACAAGGTGTCACATTAGGGTGTGTGTTTGAGACTTCTCTTCCTTCTTGAGGCAGGCCTGTATCGCTATAACCTTCCCTCTTAGAACCACTTTTGCTGCCTCTAACAAATGTTGGTGTGTGTTTAAACAGCGTTGAATTCTGTTTTGTCTGATTATAGCTCTTCCAGCTCTGTCTTGGTTCCCACTTGCGCAGAACATCTTTTCTGTCCCGTCACTTTTGGTCTGTGTTGTCCTTAGGTCCAAAGTGAGTCTTTTTGTGGGTGGCACATGGATGGGTATTGTGTTTTCAGCCACTGTATGTCTTTTGATTGGACATTTCACCGAGTTCATTTTAAATCACTGTCGACTGTTCTGCTCTGGGGTTGCGTAAGCCCATTGACTTGAATAAAGAAAGCCCAGACACTGGTGTCCTCTCTCATTTTACTTTCACCTTGGAGTTATTTGTAATAAGAAAGACTGTTTATTGAATCCCTGCTATGTGTGAGGCCATTGCTGCATGTTGACCCACTTGATCCGTTCTGTAACTCTGCGTTAAGAGGGACGATCCTTTTCCCCATTCTAGAGGTGAGGAAACTAAAGCTCAGAGAGGCTCAGTCTGTGCGTCTAGCAACTATCTATGGAGCTCGGCCTCTGTGCCAGGCCGTGGTGTGGGCCTAGGATACAGAAGAGACCCAGAGGGGTCCTTGGGAATCAGGATGTCCTCTAGTAACCCTTCTGTCCTCTCTGATCGCCGGCCATACTGGGCTGGCTCTGGACATGTGCACTATGGATCCTGCTCCTGGCACTGCAGGGCAGGCGCTGTGTGCCCTGTGTGTGAGGGCAGTCCATCCTCCCTGCATCCAGTTCATGGTCAGGAGCAGGGTTACTGAGGGAGCGGATGGGAGAAAGTTGGGAGATGACCATGCCTTTTTCTCTTAACAGGAAGGACCTGCTTCTGTCTGAATTATGGAGTCTGGCACTAGGTGGGTACCAGATGGCCAGGGCTGGGGTGGAGGGTGTGGGAGGAGGGCCTGAATGTGGGGAGAGAAAGGAGTCCAGTCCATATTTGGTGATATTTTTGTTCACAGAGTTGGGTTCTAATTCTGACTTCCTGCTCACAGCTGTGTATCTTGGCACTTCCTAGCCCTGACCCTCAGTTTCTGTATCTGTGAAAGGGGTTATTTGAGGATTAAATGATGATACGGGGAGGGAATGTAGAGCAGTTAGAATTTTTATTGAGGGACATTGAGTTTGTTTCCTTTGTCTATTTAGTTCTTACATATAACTGTTCGTGAGCACCTTTATGCATAAAGCTCTTTACCAAATACAGGATGATCCTCTCAGGACATATTCCCAGAAGTGGACTTCCTCAGTGACAGGCAGTGACCAGCTTGATATCTGCTGTCAAATTTCTTCCAAAAACCTTCCACCATGACTTTCAGCAGCAAGGACTGAAGGAGCCAGTTCTGCAGTTCTGCATGAAGCCTCTCCAAGCCGGGGTTCTATTTCGAGATAGCTTTGCTAGTAAGTGAAAATCGGTTTCTTACTGTAGGAATGTATGCGGCCTTTTGCTTTTTGTTTTGTGTAGATTGGTTCAAATAAATTCAGTGTCAGTGTAATAAAATGAGAGAGGAGAACCCACTGCCATGTGAGAAGATTTAAATGAGTGTATTTTGTTAGACTCCAAGAGCCCCAGCCTTATTTTTCTTTGAACTTTTTACATTAAATATTGCTATTCCCATCCTTTTACAGTGTGATTTTGAGAGCTCTGTTCCTCTGTTCTTTGTTATAATCAAAAAGGAGGTTCTTCAGAGCGTAACCTGCATTTACCAGGTACGTCCTACTAAATTAGACACAGTTCACATTACAGTTCTAGGTGGAAACTGTGCCCATAAATGAAGCCTATTTTTTGCTGGAATATTTTCGGGGGTTTCAGGCATGGGGGGATCAGGGCCTGCTGGGACCCAGGACAGCCTGTGGTGCTGGTGGGCCTGGCCGTACCTCCCAGGCATGTTTGGGAGTGAGGCCCGTGGCCTTCTCCCTGAGGACCTGAAGCATTTCCCGACTTGCTCTTTTTCTCCCTGGGTCTGTGGACTTCAGTGAAGGATTTGATTCACAGTGTCAGAGCACGCCCTCTGACTGTGTTTGGGGACCTGCTCTTTCAGAAACCATCAAGGGCTGTCTTAGAAAACATCTGGAACAATTGAAGGCCCCTGAGGGGACTTGTTCAGAAGCCCTTGGAAACCTGCATCTTGACTCCTCGTCAGATGAATCTGCTGTGACTCCTGGCTCCATCCCAGGGGAGTCCCCAGTCCTGGGAACCTGCCATTTGAAGTGTGTATGTTATGCCATAGGGAACTTTGCCACCTGAGTCCTAGCTAGACACCAGCTCACATTTTTGCTTCTCTTTTTGGAAAAGTGCCAGGCACATCTTTGGATTCTTCTTGATCACCCCCTGCTTTGGTCTTGCACACAATCTGCACACAGATCATTGGGTTGATAGAATTCATTTTTCCCTTCCACAGATTCCCAGAAGGCCCTGCTGCATGTATGACTCTCTGTTTAGCCAAAAAAGAAGTCGTGGTTTTGAATAGCCTCGGTGTGACTGTTCTCAGTGAGAACGAGGTGAGTGGCTTGGGGAAGGGGAGCGGGAAGGCCGTGTGATTGCTGACTGAGGGGGACCCCAGGCTGTGCCCCATGGACGCACCTGCTCTGCAATAGCCATTGTTCCCTCCCACTGCTCACTTGTGTTCGTGCCGCTGGTCACAGGGGACCTGTCTGCCCCACATCGTGGCCTAGGTGGTGCCCGTCACAAAAACACCAAATGGAACAAATGGCTTGTCCTGAAACCTGTTATATTTGCAAAATTCTAGTGAGAATCCTGTGTTCAGAATCCTCTGGTAATTTCCTAAGTTGGTACTTACTGTTGGTGTTAAAAAAATAAAGGGGTACGCAGTCTCGGTGCCTCACATGATGGCTTTCTGATTGGGATTTACCCTGTGCTAGGGGAGGTCATAGAAGGGGACAGAACATCTCTCTTTGCACGGTAGCCCGGTCACACCCATAGCATCTGGCTGTGAGCTGTGGGTAGATTGTGCACCCTGGGGTGAAATTGTGAGACTTGGAACAAGATCATCTCACCAGCAGGGACCTGAAGCCAGTGTAGGGACACACCCCTGCAAGCCGCTTTGTATTGCTGGGGGGATTGCAGAATGATCATTTGATCCCTGTCTGTGTTCAAAAATGGCCAAGTCATTATTGTGAAACCTGAAAATCAGGCCCTGCTGAGAGAAGAGAAACCTTCACCAATGTTGGCGGGGCCCCGAAACACTGCCCCTCCATTCATGTCATCTTTCCTGAGTGCCTGCCCTGGGCAAGGCAAGGGCTTTGGGGGGAGGCCAAGATAGATGCAGTCCCAGTGTCCAGGGGCCCAGGTTCCCATCAAGGCATGTGGCCTGTCAACAAGTACGTGGTGAGCAGAACAGAGAGGGGAAGTCGCTCCATGCCATTTGAGGGGCTGGAGGAAGGTTTTCTGTGCCATTTGAGGGTGATGTCACTGACGCATGGCCCTCCTGTCCCCCCCGCAGGGTACCAGATCGCCACCGCCTGGCTGGCAGCAGCCCCAGCACATTCACCACTGTGGAGGTGGGTGCCATGGTGAGGCAGTTCATGGGCACCGAGCTGGCCCTGGAGTCGGCATACATCTTCAGGCTGCCGGCCAAGACGAGGCAGGGCTGGGCGAGCCGCTGGAAGCCCCCGTCATCACTGCTGGAAGCCCCCGTCATCACCGCTGAGAAGAGAGGTAAGACCCGAGGCCCAAGTCCACTGTTGTGGTGCTACAGGGAGGAGAGCTGGGCAGGAAACGGAGCCGGGAACTTGCAGGGTCCACGGCTTCCAGGTCAGGCCCTGCCGTCGCGTGTCTACACAGCCTGACGTTTATCAGCCAGGCAGGAATGTCCCTGGTTTAATGCTGGAGACTGGGCTCAGAGAGGTTGTGTAACTGGCCCAGGGTGGCTCTGAGTCACCGTGTTGGAGGGCAGCTCCCTGAATCCAGGCACTTGGTCTCTGATGTTCAAAACCACGTGCCCAGCTGAGCAGGTGCTCAGTAAAGTTTCCTGTGGAGCAATCCTAGGGAGTTCTGTCTTCATGGACGCCGCTTCTGTTCCAAACACTGGCGAGGTGCTTATTGTACATTGTCTTGGTTTATCCTCACCAAAGCCTGGGGAACAAAGCACTGTGAGCCCCAGTTCTATAGAAGAAGTGGGGGCCCAGACAGATTCAGTCAGTTGCCGGGGACGCAGCTGTGGGGCAGTGATGTGAACACCCTCCACACACCCCCCAGACCCCCTCTTCCCACACCAATCTTCTGTGAGTTCCCATCTCG